GCAGAGGCACTAAAAGCAGACGTAGCGGCAACTGCAAGGATACTCCACATTCTTTTCAATAATATTTGGGATGAGGAACAAGTACCAAACTACTGGAAAGGACTCCTGATCAAAATACCGAAGAAAGGCGATCTCAACAGCTGTGATAACTACAGGCACATCACTCTTCTCTCAATACCAGGAAAAGTCTTCAACAGGGCATTGTTAAACAGGATGAAGGACTGCGTAGACGCCCAACTTCGTGACCAACAGGCAGGATTCCGTAAGGATAGATCGTGTACAGACCAAATCGCAACTCTACGGATCATTGTAGAACAATCAATTGAATGGAATTCATCACTCTACATCAACTTCATTGACTATGAAAAGGCATTTGATAGCGTGGACAGAACAACACTATGGAAACTTCTTCGTCACTACGGCGTGCCTCAGAAGATAGTCAATATCATACAGAGTTCATATGATGGATTACACAGCAAAATCTTGCATAGAGGACAGTTGACGAAGTCGTTCGAAGTGAAGACCGGGGTTAGGCAAGGTTGCTTACTCTCGCCCTTTCTCTTTCTCCTGGTGATCGACTGGATCATGAAGACGTCAACATCTGAAGGGAAGCACGGGATACAATGGACATCTAGGATGCAGTTGGACGATCTGAACTTCGCAGATGATCTGGCCCTTCTATCCCAAACGCAACAACAAATGCAGGAGAAGACGACCAGTGTAGCAGCAACCTCAACAGCAATAGGTCTCAATATACACAAAGGGAAGAGCAAGGTTCTCCGATACAACACAGCATGCACCGATCCAATCACAATTGACGGAGAAGATTTGGAAGATGTAAAAACCTTTACATATTTGGGCAGCATCATTGATGAACAGGGTGGATCTGATGCAGATGTGAAGGCGCGGATCGGCAAAGCAAGAGCAGCATATTTACAACTTAGGAACATCTGGAACTCAAAACAACTGTCAACCAACACCAAGGTCAGAATTTTCAATACAAATGTCAAGACAGTTCTACTGTATGGGGCGGAAACCTGGAGAACTACGAAAGCCATCATCCAGAAGATACAGGTGTTTATTAACAGTTGTCTACGCAAAAATACTTCAGATCCGTTGGCCGGACACTATTAGCAACAACGTCCTGTGGGAGAGAACAAACCAGATCCCAGCGGAGGAAGAAATCAGGAAGAAGCGCTGGAAGTGGATAGGACACACATTGAGGAGAGCACACAACTGCGTCACAAGGCAAGCCCTCACATGGAATCCTCAAGGCCAAAGGAAAAGAGGAAGACCAAAGAACACATTACGCCGAGAAATGGAAATAGACATGAGAAAAATGAACAAGAATTGGATGGAATTAGAAAAGGAGGCCCAGGACAGAGTGGGTTGGAGAATGCTGGTCGGCGGCCTATGCTCCATTGGAAGTAACAGGCGTAAGTAAGTAAGTAAAAAAGAATTCCTATTGTCGGGAAAATTTGAAGTGAGATGATTTTGAAAAATTTCAAGTTGTCTATTCTTGCATAACACACTCTCAAAGGACTTTTATAACAATCATAGACCGGACGTCAGAAATTCCATTAATTTAATCAACTAATATTTATTGATCACTATAAGTCTTCATATAACACAAGAGCCAATTAGATAACAAAAAATTAATTGTCGGTATGGAGTTGTGGAGGTAGATGGATTTCATCGGAATCCCGAACCAATATAATTCAGACAACTATCAAAAGCCTGAGGGCACTGAATGGCCGTTTTGTCCCAATGCTAATACACGACTTCATAACCGGGAATCCAACTTAGGGACTTGGGTATAACTCGAACATTTAACTTTTAGACTAACCAGCTGAGATCCACTACTGTACGAGTCTGGATTCAGTCAATCCACAATACTAGGCCACCATCTTCCTGTCTTTGGTAGGTATATTTCCGACGGAAGATAAGTAACAAACTAGTAAGGAAGTAGATCTGGTGGGACTGTCGTTTCCGAACTAAAGCGGTTTTAAATTAGTGAAGACTGTGGAGATTAGTTCAGACACTCATGCTTTTGCCCAATGGAAATTAAAAACAAACCTGTTATCAGCCCTTAACAAAGAATATTTTTAAGTGAAATTTATCTCCTCAAATCTCTCATTTAGATAATAAATACCAAGTTTACACTTCTCATCAAGCATATAGGAGGCTAATTCTGTAGTAGAGTATAAATAAGATGGAACGTCTTATATTTGTAACCAGAATAGTTTAGACAGAATACAGGTGTGCTAACCTAAAATAAAGTAGATTATGTTGTACATAGTATGGTTAAGGATAAAATTAAGTAATCTATTTTCAGTCATGTCCAGTCGATTAAGCGACAATGGATATCATACGTAGCACATATAATAAATATTTTAAGTCGGCAATTAGCGAACCAATATGAAAATTATTTTCAGGGGCTACCCAACTTATCCATATGTTAATACACTATGATAATCAATGATTTTTATATAAGTGACATGATCCCTCAGGCCGTATAATTGATAATGACAGTATCAGTATGATTAAAAGTTTTGCACATAGACATGCACTTAGTAAATGAATTCCTTCTCATTTCTAATTAACAAAACCCTCTTAAACTGGAGCTAATAATAACATGTGAATAAGTTATGAAATAATTATTACAAATTCCATAACAATTGAAAATATACATAAAACAAATTATTTGGTGAGAAATGCTAAATAAACCTTACATTTCGTGGTTGGAAATAATATAAGCATGAAATGACATATTCGTCTTCACATATGTACAATTAAAAAGTGTCGGTCATGCAAAGATACTCAGATATAATTAATACGAAGTTTGGCATAATATTTAGACTTCCAGAATCCAACAAAATACAACCCGATTATATGCTACTCAACAATGTGAAGACGGACAACAAATCAAATGAAGAGAAAATATGAAAAAAAATTACCCAAACTTACAAGATGTCTGTATTTTACCGTCATTTTAGTCATAAATCAATCCTAAAATACTAAGATTAACTAACGATCTATGAAATCCTCAAAAATGGTAATAGATAAGTGGGTTTTCGTTAATAAAGATCGGTTTCCCTTCAGTCAGTAATAATTAGTGTACAACTTGTTACAAAACTGATTTGATATAAGCCACCATACCATGACAGAATTAATTCAACAAGATGAATACCAAAGAAACTAAAAATAATGTAGCAATGATGATGAGAAAGATTTAACACTGAGAATACGGTATGGAAAGATAGAATGAAAAGTTATTAATGAAGAAATGTTGGAGCTTAAGATCTGGAGGAAGATAAACAGTGAGTGCATCTTGATCAGTGGAACTGACTCTAAATCATGACGCTGAAACTCTAAAATCACTGACTGATATCATCGCACAGACTTCAATTAGGTAGTCTGGATCTACCAACATGCCTCTTTTACATCACTAATATAACAAAAGTATCCCATATTGCAAAACATACGGAGCCATAATGCAAATGATTCAGTGAAACATAAGACAGTAATCTATGGTCGACTTTCAGGCCAATAAGTAACAACAAATCGACTGCAGTTATTTCTTAGTGAAGATTAAATTATTCATAGAATTCTACAAAAAACCCACCTTTAAATATACATCATTGTTAACTTCAAACAAATAAATAATGTACCCTTAAATAGATCGGGGAAGCTTACTAGTACGAATCCCAGCGAAAAATAAGCTGGCTCCAAAACGTTAGCCTCACAAAGATGCAAGAGAATCTGGGTTACGTAATTCTAAGGTAACAATCACTTTTACTATGATAACTCATATTTCGCCTCCTACAACTTCGTAATTAATTCCAACTAACTCTTTGGGTCCCATATAGTTTAACGATACTGAACCATATCTTTTTGACCAACTTCCAAACTAACAGATAGTCAGTTCTAGTAAATGAACCAAGTGGTATCTAACCACTCACTCTTCTAGCTAGTACTAGGGTTGCCACATGGGTATTAAGTGAACAGTACTCTGCATAAGTAATATCTATCCAAAACACAGCTGTGAGGATCCCAGTGTGGTGTAAATAATAAGTAAATTCACTCAATCATCAGGTCCTCAGGTGTGAGGGCTTATGTTATTGCCACGTCGCCCGCACTAAATTAGGTGTGGAGGGAGTTACTTTAAGAATTGACTTAGTGTAAAACGTTAAGAAAATGCTCTAGCCAATGATGCTATTCAATAGATTGCTGATAAGCTTGTTAGCTATGAAGTTAGTGCTTATCTCTGACGGAAACTTATTGAAGTGAGCACTTAGCCATTGATTTTGATAGGTATTCCCAGATGATCATCATACAGTTACTAAAAGATAGTCCTACTATCCAAAATTTAGACTGAGACACTCATTTACCACAATTTTCTTAATTCCACACTAATTAGACCAACGGAACGGACTTATTGGTTGAAAGTCAAGCGCCTAAACGAGTATGCTACCGCTCCACTGGCAGTAAATGTATTCTAACCGAGAGATATGCGATGAGGGAACATTTAGACTGAAACTACCCCGACAGTATGTTTGGTTTCTACTTCACTTAACTCTTCTTCAACGGTCAAATACTATCACTAGCCTCTAAGTAAGGAATGTAACTGCACTGAGTAGATGAATCTGTACTTGGTTATTGAGCAGTATCATGTATTAGTCGTGTTGTCAGTAGAACAGAAAACTGGTAATGCATACAAAAGTATATTTCTAAATTAAAAACGAGATGAACAACAAACGATTCCTACGTCTTCAAGAAAACATGCAAGTCACATGCGGATAAAGACTGTTTGGAAATTTGGAGATGAGTCCAAAAACAATGAAAAGTGGGGACAGGATCGGCGAGATAATACAAATGCGTTCAAAGCTCATCCTTTGGTGAACTTGGTTGATTTTCCTATCCATGAAAAATGAAAAAACTAAGTTTAGCATTCCGAAAATCAACATGCAAAAATACCAAGCACCAGATAATGAACTTACATCAATTTGCGAAGATGCTTCTGACTTTTCATTCGTTGAATCTTCATTTGAAACCGACTCCTATGTATAAATTACACTTAAATTATCAACTTACTTTATTCACTTCATCCGTTACAGATTCCTCATCAGTCTCAGGTTCTTCGTCCAGCAACTCGCTTTGATCAATATCTAAACTTTTCTTTATAACAGATTCAACTCGTTCTGCGAAAGCAACAGGGTTCTTAACAGAAAAACCTGAACGAAGGACCGCAACATCGAAGAGCAAATTCGCAGTATGACTTATTGTAGGATCATCTTTATTGGTCTTTATAAGAACGTTTAACTTTTTCATTACTGGATGGCGTGGGTTAATTTCAAAGACCTTTTTCATAGTAGAGTAATAAGTAGATGATGGATCTCCACCCCTTTGATATGCTTGTGCAATCATAATGCGCTCCATATTACCGGACCAACCGAATTCATTAGCGACAAGAGCACATGGGGTATTCGATAATCTTTCTGACAAGGCAGTTTTATCGACATATTCTTTCAAATTTTCTTTAAACCATTCCAAGAGAGGTTTGAATTCTTTTTCTAGTTCTTCTTTACGAGTCTTTGCTTCTTCCGATTTGTCGATTTCGATCGTTCCCTTTGCCACATTTCGCAACTTTTTCTTATCATATTCAGTTAGCGACTGAAGCATGTACTCGTCAACAGGATCGATCATATAAATGACTTCATAGCCTTTCTTGATTAGCATTTCTACAAATGGAGATGACTTAGCCTCAGTTATTGAAGATGCGGTAAGGTAGTATATATCTTCTTGACCATTTTTCATGCGTGAAACATAATCTGCAAGACTTGATTGGTTTTCAGTGCTGTTTGAAGTCCAAAACCGTAACAACCTGGATAACTTGATGCGATTTGAAAGATCGTCAATTATACCAAGTTTTATGTTCACAGAGTATTCCTTCCAGAAATCTTTAAACTGAGACTCAGAAAGTTCGCTAATCATCTGGATTACTTTCTTGACCAAACTTTTCTTTATCATTTTAAGGAGTTTGTTTTGCTGCAGCATTTCACGAGAAACATTTAGAGGAAGTTCGTCACTATCCACTATACCAAAAACGAATGCCAAGTATTTAGGAAGCAGATCATCGGCTGCGTCAGAAATGTATACACGACGAACGTACAACTACAGAATATTTTAGTACATAGTATAAAATACTTACCTTGATCCTATCGCTATGAGTACTGTGCATCTGGAATATGTTAGAGGGAAGATGTTTTGGTATATACAGTATTGAACTAAATAACACGTCTCCCTCACCACTGAAATGAATCTTGGCGAGAGGATCGTCATTATCATTTGAATAGGCACGGAATAAATCATTGTACTCCGCATCAGTAACGTCGGCCGGTTTGCGTCTCCAGATAGGTTTATTTGCATTCACACGTACCCAGTCCCAGACGATTTTGTCTACGGTCTTGCTTTCACTTTTTTTTCCACTTTCTTCTTCAACCTAAAAGAAAGCGTAATTAAAGGAAACACTTACGCTAGCTTCAGAATCAACTGCTTTTGACTCCTCCTTTTCTTCGGGTTCAGCAGCCTGCGATTCCACTCGACTCGACCACACATAAATGGGGAAATTGATGAACTGACTGTATTTTTTCACGACTTCTTTAAGAGTCTCGGATTGTAAATAATCTTCTGCCTCCTCCGTTAAGTAAAGGACAATTTCAGTCCCACGTTTAAGGGTGTTTCCACGTGGGTCTTTGTAAACTACGAATGAAGTGGAATTGGACTCCCAGATATATTGGTCATCATTATCACTCTTGGATACAACTAAAACTTTGTTTGCAACTAAGATATGAACAAATTATTTATGTGTACAAACCTAAGAAAGAGGAGTAGAACCCGACACCAAACTGGCCAATAAGGTCAGAATTTTCTGTGGCCGTATTAGTTTGTGAGATCTTAGTCAAGAACTCAGATGTTCCAGACTTAGCAATGGTTCCCAAGTTAGAGGTAAGTTCAGCTTCTGTCATGCCTATGCCTGTGTCTATTATATGAAGGGTCCGTGCATCTTTATTGGCCTTAAAGGGTTGTTAAATGTATACTAGGAAAACCTACTTTTATTCGGATACTCATTTCGTCAGACTCATTAAGAACTTCATTGTTAGTAAGCGAAAGAACGCGAATCTTATCCAGAGCGTCTGATGCATTTGATATTAATTCTCTAAGGAAGATCTACACAGTCAAAGAAAAAACCAACATTACCTCCTTATTTTTGTACAGAGAGTTAACTATTATTTTCATCATGCGATCAACCTCAGCCTCAAACTGCCGTTTTTCAGCATGTTCCCGTGCTTGCTTCAACTGTTCAACGCTTAGACCATCCAAGCTGATTGCCTCCCCTTCTCTAGCATGATATAAAAGTATTGTTCGTGAAACTTACTTAGCTAAAGTGTCTGAGGCTGTTGAAAGTCCCTCATTAGGTCTTGATACAGGAATATCAGACAGTAACGATGACGGATCACACAAGACACATGCCAATACAGCTATTTTCATCAAGTAAAAAAGTGAAACCATAACTTACTAACTACCACTAGGCTATGTACCACGGACAGATCCCATGGTCTCCCCATAGTTAGAAGATCCTGATACCCACAACGCGAAACAGGACTTAAAAATACGACTAACAAATGTGTCTAAAAGCTATTGGCTAATCTAGGTCTCTCTGCTTGTTTAAAACAAAGTAAGGTCAATAAACTTTCAAGCTACAATTTAGTTTACTACACTTTCCAACCACTGAAATGGTTAAAAATATGTATTAATTGAAATATTAAACTCGGTTATTTTTATATATTTGCAATGTCTCTCCTTGTTCACCGATCATTCAGACAGTTATCAGCAGAGTTGAGCATGTAGAAAGATTCAGCTGAGTTATTCATTGTAAGAAACCTACAGATGCATGCCCTTAAAAAAAATGTTACAAGTACCTTATCTTCATTTTGAGAACGACGCTCTAAAAGTACCTGATGCGATTTAGTCAAGTGTATATTTAGACTTCCATGAAATCGGTCTAAACTCGGATATTTCATTTTATCCAAAATATCATAGTGAGCTCAGAAGATCCCTGGAACACAAAATCTGTCTTCTAAAGATCGACTGGCTAAAATGAACCATTTCCACTGGCCAGATAAAATAAATCGAGGTGACTAAATAGCTTTTTCAAATTAATAAGCAAAATTTTTGTGTCCGACATGTAATTTTTATCACCTTCTGGAAAAAATATTTGTAGGCTCATACTGATAACCCTTATCAGCCAAGAACCAAGTTGGGATAGGGGTGAATATTTATATCTCAGAATGAGGATTTTGGGGATTTTTCGTTGTCTGATTAGGATGGCTTAATCGTGATGCTTCCACAGTCTTTCTTGACGGAATCATCAGTAGACATTTCAATAAGAAGTGAGATATTTGAATTTCTCCGCGGCTGACTAGCTGCTCACTCTGTCAACCAATAGTTTTATTGGTTGTTGTCCATATGTGTATGGCCATTGTACGTTTCTTTGATTGTTTTTACTATTGTTCTGACCTCTGTTCGTCAAGTTGCTAGCCTTTTTTTCCTTATTAGCTTATAGATGTATATCGTTTCTTCTGATGTTTTTTCGTTAACATATATTCTGTCCCGCTTTCAGTTTATCTAGGATTACAATTATGTTATTGTTTACAACTTCTGAACAGTAGTCAGAATTTATGTTCTTGAGGTTACTGACCACTATCTTACTTATGTCTTACTCAAAGTCAAACCAGAAATCAGCAGTAAAGAAGTATGAAGGTATTCGGTGTATTGAGAAATGGCTGCCTGGTTGTTGGGAGGACAACACAGCACGACGTTGGTGATCTGATGAGTATGAGTAACAGAGGGCCTTCAGTGCGTCAGGTAAAACTGATCATATCAGCACCAATTTCGAAGCCTTGCAAAACTATTTACTTTATGAGTTTATTTACCATTCCACTACTCGCTATCAGGTAACAGTATAAATATTCCTAAATTTTTGATCGCGTACTATGCTATAGTTAAGCTTACCAGTTTGATGTTGTAACGGCAACTGTATATATCTCAGTGACAATCTAAAGCGAGTTGGAATCAGAGTATAGTGAAGACTACGCTGAAGATCCCTCTCAAGTGTACAACTGGACAGTACTTCTAATCCTTTGTTCCTTCTCCCTGACTTATATTTTAATTTTTACCCATATCTCTTGTAACCACGACATATTCTTCAGCCTTCCTTTTTTGACCTTTTTTATTTGACTTTGGTTAAGGATTTACCTTCATTACTTGATCTTACTGCTGCATATAACCGGACTGGTGAAGACAAGGCAGTTTTTGGCTAAAGTCAGGTTTACAACATGGTTCAGCAAATAACAGTTGACCTTTGGCTGCTTGCTGAAAACGGCTACTCAAAATTACTCAGATAGATATTTTCATCTTGTTTTGTCGGGAATACTTGTAGAATTATGGTTTAGTTCGGCATTATTACTACTATGATAATAGACCTAGTCCCAAAATTGTAAATTTTTCTTGACGTGATGTGGTGCGTGCTACTTATATTGATATAAGTAGTATATAACGTGAGTTAAAAGAACGAAATGTCTGGCAGCAGAACATGGGGAAGATCCAGAAAGGAAGAGCGAGAACACAATGGAATTTGTAAAAAATCGCATGAACAATGAAATGTGAGACAATGGATTGGTGTTTGCAACAGCAACAGTCCGGTTTGATATGATGGAATGATATTTTGCAAATTAACGATTGACGATATGGTTTTTCAATTTTACCAAGTAACTCTGTAATTTGTGCTAAATACAATTTGGTTTTCCTCACCTGTGTTCTCCTTCATTACATTTGGTGTCGCTGCCTCAACTAAGGTTGAAGATTCCATGGCCGAAGGAATTCGAGGACGGAGATGTGCTGAGCTTCCTGAAGGAGTTTGAGGCCGTGGCAGAGCTGGTGGGAGTGAAGAAGCCGAAAGCGAAGTTGGTGGTGCTGGGGACGCTGTTGAGAGGCAGGGCGAAGGCTGTATATGACAGCTCGGACGCTGCTGGTGGGAAGACGACATGGGAGACAGTTACGGAGCGTTTAGCGGCGGAGTTCGACAGCCCAGTAGACAGAGAGGAGGCGCTGCAGAAGTTCCGGTTGGCGAGGTTGCCGGTTGATGTTGACCCAATGGTGCTGGCGGTGGAGCTTATCAGATTGTTACGCCGTGCGCTGCCGAATCTGGATGAGGAGTCGGAGGCACAGTTGTTAGCGTCACAGTTTATCGAGAGTGTGCCTGCCACCATCTCCCAACAGCTGAAACTGGTGAACGCAGCGCAACCAATGGATATCAGTGAACAAGCGAAGGTGACTCGTCAGCTGATGACGCGAACAGTGGCTCCGGTCGGGTGCGAAAAGCAGGAGATAAGTAATGTAGAGAAGAAGATTGAGGAGCTGGAGCGTGAGATTGCAGCAACACGAGTGAACCATAAAAAGAACGATAAATGTTACGCTTGTGGAGGAACAGGACATTGGAAGATAAACTGTCCAACAAGACGAAGACACAGATATTTTAGACGTTATAACGAGTGTTCTTTCTATCCTAGGAATCTGGGGGTTGTTACGTTAGTAGACAGAGGGGCAGTATATACGAGAGTGAACATAAATGAACGAGATTTAGTTTGTCTGATCGATACAGGTGCAGCAGTCTCGTTAATAGGCAAAGAGCGATGTAGGAGACTCAAGCCGTGTACATCAGCTGTCCACACTATAGGAGGCCATATGTTAGAAGTGTTTGGCGTATCTAACAGTATCGTAAAAGTGGGGGATGCTGAGATAAATTTCCCGTTCGTGGTAACCACAAGCTTATCGAGACCGATATTAGGAGCAGATTTCCTAAGAGAAGTAAAAGCGATAGTTGACTTAAGAAACGGTAAGGTGGTCACAAAGTATGGTTCATTGCCAATACACGAAAGTAGTGAAGTGGCTGAAATAAGAGTGGCAGCGGATGTCTCGTCGAAGAAACCAAACATTAACGAGTTATGCAAAAAGTATGCGAAATTGTTCACTGGAGATGGAGAGCCGTATGGATTTTGTGACAAAGTAAAGCACGAAATCCCGATAAAGAGCGATCGAGTAAATATATTTGCAACACGTCGTGTGCCGGTGCATTTAGAGGCTGAGATAACTCGCCAGTTCCAGGAAATGTTGAAAGAAGGTATAATTGAGGACGCGGACAGCCCATATAGCTCACCAGTACTCTTAGTAAAGAAACCAAATGGAAAGTATAGATTCTGTGTCGACTTCAGAGAATTGAATAATATAACAGACCTGAAACCTTGTGGAATGCCAACAGTGGTGGAAACATTAGATCGGTTACAGAATGCCACGGTGTTTACAGTGCTGGATTTACGGTCAGGATATTGGCAGCTGCCTATAAAACAGAGTGATCGAAGCAAGACAGCGTTTACGGTACGAGATAAACAGTACCAATTTAAACGAATGCCGTTCGGTTTGGCAGGTGCGCCGTTCACATTCAGAAGACTAATGGCACTACTGCTCAAGAATCTAGATAACGTCCAGGTATATGGCGACGATGTGGTTGTGTACAGTCAGACAGAAACAGATCACGTCAAGCATGTGGAAGCGGTCTTAAAGCGAATTGACGAATTCGGACTTCGGATTAATAACGACAAGTCGCAGATAGCGAAAAGTAGCGTCACGTTGTTGGAACATAAAATGGGAAATGGAGAAATAAAACCATTACCGGGAAAAATTCTTACCATAAAAAATATTGCAGTACCTAATTCGGAAAGGAAGTTGAGACAGTTCCTGGGAAGGGCGGCATCCTACAGTCGGTTTGTCAAGAATTTCAACGAAATAGCAGCACCCTTATATAAGTTATTGAGCAACACCAAGTTTACGTGGACTGAGACTGCCGAACAAACGTTCAACCGAATCAAAAACATTCTAGACGATCGTCAGATGACGCTCAGACTGCCTGAACAGGGAAAACTGTTCACAGTGGCCACAGACGCGAGTGATCATGGTATAGGTGCTGTGTTGAGTCAGGCTGATAGAGTGGTGGAATTCGCGAGTCGCGTCCTCACACCCGCTGAACAGAAGTATTCAACCATCGAAAAGGAGTGTTTAGCAATCGTGTGGGCAGTGGAAAAATGGAGACCGTACCTTTTACGTAGACGATTTCACATTGAGACTGACCATAAACCCCTGCAGTGGTTGAAAACAGCAAGAGACTCCCGAGGGAAGTTGGCGCGATGGATGATACGTCTACAAGAATATGACTTCAGTATTGGCCATGTTCCAGGAAAAGAAAACGTAATGGCGGATTACTTGTCGAGACCAGACATGGAAGCCAACCTGCCATTAACAGCATACGCGGTGAACAGTTTAGAGGGAGACCCAGTAGAACTCGTCCGGCAGCAGAAAGCTGACCCTAATCTTCGAGAGGTAATCAGAGTGATAAAAGAGGGAGCAGACGTAGACAAACGAACAATGGACAAGGAGGTAATAACGCTGCTTCGGCAAAAGGAACGACTGAGAGTGAACTCATATGGAGTCCTGACCTGGCAGGACGATGACG